GAGAAAAAAGAAAAAAAGAAAAAAAAAAGAAAATGAAACAAACCTTGTTTAATGACGATGCCAGGGGGCACTTGGACAATCGGTAGGGCAGCGTTCGAAGGATTTACGGGGATGCTGGCCGGTGTTCCTGGCGGGGGCGATGCGCTGGCGCTACCAACGGAACCAGGATCGCTGAAGCCTTGGGTACTGTTCTCCTCCGGACCGTCGAAGAAGCTCAGATTGAACTCGCTACCAGCGTCGAACGACACTTCCGGCGTAAGGGTGTCCGGCGCCGGGGCGCTACCCAGACCCGCGCTCAGCGACTGGTCGATTTTGAAAACGTCCATTGTACGAAGGGGGAATGGTGATAATGACGTCGGCGATCACCAACTCGATACCAACCGCGGTCACCATTCGCGTACTCGACTAACGTGACTCGGCTCACGTCCGGCTCGGATGTTCATCACTTTCCTACGATACGAGATTCACGGAAGCTCTTCCCCTTTTCCTTGTTCGTCTTGCAATCAGTTTTCTCCTTCTCTCTCTCTCTCTGTTTCTTTTTTTGTCTTACTCTTTTGAAGTAAAATTCATCACTGTACTTATATTGCTATTGTGCGTGTCTGTGTCTGTGTGTGTGTGTGTGTTACTCTCTCGACCAACAAGAGTCCTTTCTTTCGAACGAAGAATCGAACCATCCGTTCGAAGAAACGAAAAACACAGTAGCGAGACACGGTCTCTCTCGCGAGAAGGAAGGTTCACGGACGTCGCGCGTCACCGGATGTTCACTAATTTACTACCGGCGGAGCGACACACATTCGCGATCTTTGTCCCCGCCTTCGGATACTCCTTCGTATATCGAGTAAACGACAAGTACTTTGCGTTTCCACGAATTCTTCTTTGCGATCGACTTCGCTCGCTTCGGTCCAACTTCACTCGAATCGGATCCAGCCGCTGGATTTATCTGGAAACTTTATTATCAGGCGAACGATCCCCGGATCGTCGAACACCGCGAGAACAAGGAAGACGAAGGGAACGACGCAGAGAGCGACGTCGAAGAGGACGAAATGTGGACGGCGTTTTTCGCAAGGTGACGGCCAGGTCTCGCCAGGATGCCACCACGGTTTCGAGAAAGCATTCCTCTCGAACGAAGCGACTCGGGAGAACGGTCGAGCCCGAGGAGGTCACTGGCCGTAACTCCTCAGCCAGATTCTCAATGAAGTTGTCCGCAGGCGACTGACGAACAATTTTGGCACGTCCGCAGCCTCGGCCAAACACAGAGAGAAAAAGTGTGTGTGTGCGTGTGTGTATGTGCGCGTGTGTGCCGCGTTTTATCTGTTAATCTCTCTCGCCTTCAAAGCGACTTCGTAACACATTAAGCGGTAGTCCGCTCCCGTTCGTGCGATTCTCGTTGTTCTCGTTGTTCTTCCAGACGCTGGCTGGCCGCCGGGGGCAATGGTTTTCGGTAGCCTTGGGCACAGCCTATTATTCAATCTGATACGATTACGCGCGGATGCTTTATTACGCTCGCCGTGGCACGTTTCTATTTCCTCACGATCCTTATCGCTGGCCGCCACTCGGCGCAGTTCGATCCGAGTCGCCGCGAATTTCACCGATCCATCCGCCACAATTTTACGCCTCTCGCGTATACCGTCGATCTTCTTTCGCCTCTCTTTCGCCCAGCGGCTCGTTCTAATCCCAACAACGCAACGCCTGGCCTCTTTGTTCTTCGCAATCGATGACAACCGAAACGCGAAAATACCGAGGTGCCTGCGAATTCTAAGGCGTCGGATAGTTGTTGTGTGAATTCTAAACTGTGTGTATGTGTGTGTGTGTGTGTGTTTGGAGTTAGGACAAGTGTCGTTCACGCGAGATTCGATTCCCTTCCTTCCTCTTCCGTTTCTATTTTCTTTTCTTTTTTCTTTTTTTTTCTCTCCCTTTTTCTTCTCGCCCGTGTCGAAAAATCGGGAATGAACAAACTACGAAGCACCTACTGGCAGCGATTACGCGAACAAACGCGAAAACAAAATCCGCACTTCACTGGCACACCGTGTCACAACAGGAAGGGAAGACCTTTCTCGTTAGCTGTCTCGCCTGAGGGCTGTGAAAATCCGTGGGATCTTGATCTTCGAAAGGGTTCAGCATTGTTCGAGAAGACGCTTGGTATCGTCTTCGTACAAGGGCATGTTCTCATCGACATCGTTACTTTCCCTTCTTTAGTTTTCTTCTCATCTAGTTTCCTTCCCCCCTCTTTCTCTCTCTCTCTCTCTCTCTCTCTCTCCGAGTTTCCGCTTCGAAATAAAAAAACGACGCGAGGGTTCAACCCATTATCTTTCCTTTTTGGCGAAGATCGCGAGATCAGTTCGTCGCTTTTCTCTCTCTCTTTCTATTTTCTTTCCACTCTCTCGTTCGCACTTGTACGCAGATTTCTCGCAGATTTTGTTTTCTTCGTTCTTCCTTCCTCTTCGCGGTTTCTCTTTATCTGCCACGGTTTCGCTTTATCTGCCACGCACCATAACGGAACGGTCTAGGGGGGAGAACTTTTTTCGGGTAACGCAAGCACGGCCTTTCCCGCCGATTTTCAGTGGATCTGCGGTCCCCTGGCTTTTCGCGTGACCCATCGCTGAAAAGACAAATGAAAACGAAACGAAAATCAGAAAGAAAACAAACCAAAGGGAGGAAAAAGAAAAAAGGGAAAACCCGATCGACGTCGAGCGCGATCAACAAAAGAAACTGTCAACCTCGTCATTCCGTCTTCGTTATTCCCTCTCCCCTTCGGTCGGACAGTATAAATATAAACGCGAGGCTGAAGCATGCGCTTGATCGATCGCGCTCTCCACCTTCGTGCTCGATTTCCTCGATCTTCTCGCTTTTCGCGAACGAAAGACGGCGCGAAGACCCCCGGTGAAACGCACACGTCGAC